ACGAATAAATACATTTATTAACCCCCATCGAAACCTAAATTCCAACATAGGTGTTCAGCACGGAACATATTATGCTACTTTTGGCTGTGAGTTGGTTACAGCTAATGCTGGTCGCCATCTGTTATAATGGGCAGTTTGGGGAATTACACCATGCGCTGGTAAGACCGTGACGGGGTGTCGGCTCTGTCATACCCATTGACTTATATTTACTGGACCTTCTATCAAGTGACTGCAAGTGCAACAATTTGACGGCCATATTGGGGAAGTCGAAGCAATGCCTTCACACTGCAGCCTTTGGCTGCAAAAACAGGCGTGGATCCTGCTCCAGGGACACAACCTTCCACCAGTTAGTGTGTTTACAGATCATTGTGTATTTTTATATTGACAGTCAATGTGATATTGCTTTGCAAACATTCAGAATAGTGTTGGACGATGTACATGTCATAATTTCCCATACAGTATGGATTTTTTTATAGCATGGTTGAGACGACAGCTCTGTGTGTATAATGTAATAAAAATATTTTTCCTTATGTTTCATTCATTTTTCCTCTCAGTAGCCAAACATTTGATAGGAAGTTATATAAATTACCACATGATAAGACAACTTCTTACTTGTGAAACTTCACAAATAGGCACTAAAATGCAAGATCATCAAACCTGATTTCATGCATTAGTACAAATTTTTATCCAAAATATTTTTTCTACGAATGGATCTTCTGTCAAGGGGCACATTCATGTTTTTGGTGCAGTGATTAGCACTGACGCCTTACACGTCTAGGACCAGGGTTCAATTCTCTGCCGTGACTCCATGTGTGTGGAGTTTGCATTCTCCCCGTGTTGTCTGGTTTCCCCCCACAGTCCAAAACATGCTGACGTTTATTGGAGTTGCCCAATTGCCTGTAGGTGTGTGAGTGTGAGTGACTGGTGTGTGAGTGTGAGTGAGTGTGCCCTGGTATTGGTTTCGCGCCCCATCCTGGGTTGTTCCCTGCCTTGTGCCCGTAGCCTCCGGGATAGGCTCCGGACCCCCCACCACCCTGAATAGGTCAAGCAGCTACAGAAAAGGGATGGATGGATATTCTGTCAAATATTTCTAATAATATTTGTATCAAATAGAAATCAAATAATATCTATCAAATGTTTTCCTTCAATATGCAGAAACATTGTAATATTTGCAGTTAAGTTCTCAAAGCTAATCCACACCCCGCAACATGAAAATTACTAAAAACGAAACAGAAAATACAACAAAAACAAGCAAAAATAAAATCTTGTGTGAACATGTGACTTCTACAATGAATTGAAATACTTGATCCAAACACATGAATGTGTGTGTGTGTGTGTGTGTGTGTGTGTGTGTGTGGGGAGGGGGCAGACAGCCAGCCAAAAGTCTTGTATTTGGGTTGGTTACTTATGGTTAAGGTTAGGGATGGGTAGAGGTTAAGGTTGTCGTAATTGGGATTAGGGTTTTCTCCATAGAAATGAATGAACAGTCCCCATTTAGATAGGAAGACCAACTTGTGTGTGTGTGTGTGTGTGTCTGTAAACCACAAATCAACATGAACCAAATATAGACTAATACATATAACTGTAGGCGGTCTCTTATTTGTATGATTTTTGGCAGAAGATTGTGTGTTGCTTACGTTGTTTACATACAAACAATGGATGGAGTGACGTTTCCAAGATGGAGACGTGCTATGCAGCTATATGGCCTAAGGCTGGAGACTCGCCTGTCGTGTAGTAAATATCCGTCATTCATTGTGCTGAATTCGGATATGTTGATAGAAATATCCAACTTATTTGAGACAGCGCCATTGGAGTTTGTGTACAACTGGAATGAGGCAGAAACAGCCAGTGCAAACTGGCCTCCCTGTGGCATTGAAGGCGTTTGTAACAGGAAATTCAGGCCCAGCTAAAAAATCATCACAGCTAAAGGGGCGTTTATCGCTATAGATACGTGACTATACTCAGTAGCAGAGAACATGTGATTTAATTCATAATGATTGTTATGAGCCTTATTTTTCAAGTTTAATTTATTTTACATATTTATTTTTTACTGTGCACATAAGGGTCCCTTAGGATTTGTTAATCAGACACGTCGGCAGACAGATTGCCTTATGTTTGGTTTACAGCTGTTCCTGAACTGAGTTTGCAGTTTTATTAATAAACAGCTTCCACTGTTGTACTCATATCTATGTGTCCGTTGACTTAGAATGCAAGGTATGCTGGAAAAGTTTTTGGACATGCTTGCTGTATCATGATATGTGAAGTGGTGATGTCCGACTCTGGAACGAATCATTCGTTTTGAATCGGTCTAACTGGTTTTCAAATAAATCTAAAAGAATCAAACTTTTAGAATCCAAAGATGAATAAACACTTAATATAAATAACGTGGTTCAGAAGAACAGAGATCTCCTCTGGTCCTCGCTTTGGTCAGTTACTTTATGGCAAGTGTGTTCTTAATATGTTTAATAATATTAATAATAATAATAACAATAATAATACAAACTCTCACTATTCATACTTGCAGCTGCAGCAGTGTGAGGCAACAGGACAGCCCCTGAGTCACTGTGCTGCAGGACTAGCAGTGCTGATTTTGTCATGGGGGTGGCTCAGTTGGTTAACTGTTACCTCACACCTCTGGGACTGGCGTTCAGGTTCTCTGTGTCTGTGTGTCAGCCTGCTCTCCTCATACAGGTCCAAAGACAGACAGGCTAACTAGTGTCACTAAACTGCTAGTAGCATATGACTATGAGTGGGTGTGTATGTGCCCTGTGAAGGACTGGCATCCNATCCAGGGTGTCCCCTGTACTGTGAAGGACTGGCATCCCATCCAGGGTGTCCCCTGTACTGTGAAGGACTGGCATCCCATCCAGGGTGTCCCCTGCCTTGTGTCCTAAGCTGCCTGGAAATGACTCCATGTCTCTCCTGACCAGCATAAACTGTTGGACGGAATCATTCATGACATTTTATATTTACAATTATTTATTTAGTAGAAACCTTTGTGCAAAATACTACACAAGTGAGGCAGATAACACATTACAAGCATATAGCGGTCAAGGATCCCACAAGGCACCATAACGTCAGCGGAAGTGGGACGGGCTACTGCATCCAAGACCACAAACCCGGAAAATTCAATCCATAGCCGATAAAGTTTTGTCTAATATCGCCGGTGCTGGCAGTGAAACAACTTATGTCAGCTGATTAGCAGAAAAACAGCACATCTTTTTTTAATTCTATGGAAAACAAAAGATCGATGTACTGGTCATATTTAATAATACATTATAAACATATCACAGGTCGAATATATAAAATATTTAAGTGGTGAAGAGATCATGAGGCAGACAGCAAAGATCAATGTTTAGCAGACTGTTTTGTTGCCTTAAAAAGAGAGCGAGAGAGAATAAACTCACGTTCCCAGACTGTGGAGCCTTTAAGGAGACAAAAGTGGATACAGGCAGTAGAGACAAAACGCAACAAGTCATACTCTGAGAATTTCTTTTTGGTTTGGCAGCTTCTAAAAACTTAAAATCCAAAACAGATCACAATAAATCCAAAAAATTGAATGAATATGAACCTTCACTTTACTTTCACTTTCACCTGTGTAACCTTTGTTCTCTTTTGAAACCAATGGAAACGCGGGCCGGTTCTCAAAAGGCACCAAGCGAGAACCAGCCCAGCACCGGCACCGGCTCCTTGTTGGGGGAACCGAGGCACATCTCTCGCCTTAAATAAGTGGCACTTGACCAGTTACTCGACCAGGTTAAAACAAAAATGTGTGTGTATGCTGAGGAAGCCAGTGTCTGAGGCATCGCCTTGGTAATTAAAATATGATTATGACGGATTCTGCTAACGTTTTGAAAGTAGTGTGGATAGGCTGTCGTCCTGCCTCCGTGCACTGTATGCATACACCCCTGGTGGGCAGACGTACTGGTTATATTCCAGTTCCTGGGCTTGATGATGAACAGTAGGGAATGGTAGCAAAGGCTCCAGGAGAACATCTGGAGAACATGGGCATGGTACTGCTCTGTGTAGGAGGAGGAGCAGGAGAGGTCAGGAGAAGAGGGGCAGCCTCACAGAGAAACGAACTGAGTACAATCCAGCTGTACACACCCCACCCACAATGCTGGTGTGTGTGTGTGTGTGTGTGTGTGTGTTTCATTGTGTGCATTTCCTCTCCATTGTGCTGTTCTGGTTCGGTGAGATTAGGGGACAGTCAGTAGGGTGGGGGCATGTACACTCCTAACTGGCCGATGTAGCAAATTCTGTCCTGCAGGAGGCGCTGTCCTGCAGTGCTGCACTCCGATGTTTGTGCAGGAAGCGTCCCGAGGGGTAAAGCCCACAGCCCTGGTTGGACCTGGGGGGGCTTTTCAGCTGCACAGATTTGATGGCCTCTCTGTCCTTGGGCCCCGTCGGCCTCCAGGAAAAGGCTTGGGAGGCAGGGGGGGGCATCAGAAGGGCGGACAGGAAAAGGCCCCAGAGCCGACTTCCTGTTGTTCCCCTGATGGAGAAAGATAGAGGGAGGAGGGAACTGACAATAAGAGGAAGGGGGCTGTGTGTGTGTTTGTGTGTGTGTGTGTGTGTGTTTGTGTGTGTGTGTGTGTGTGTGTGTCTGTTTGCATGCGTGTAGGAGAGAGAATTTCTACATGCGATCATTCATGTAGAAATACAGCAGAAAAAAAATACTGTGTGTCAATCTCCCCCCCCTCCTCCGCTGACACGTTGGCCGCCCTCCCCCCGTGTCTGTGGGTGTTTGCCAGTCTGCTATTTGCCTCTGGGCACTGAAAGGGGAAGTCTGCCGGCTTTGTGTGACATGGCGGGGGTGCTCTTCTCTGCAGGGACTGGCCAGCTGTCTGCCGTTATGCAGTCTCTGCCTGCACTCACACCGCACGCTATCGCCATCGCCTGGCCGGGCTGATACGGCATGAGCGTGGCCAAGCCACCATACCATCCCTGTCCCAAGCCTGTGGCCTGACTCAGTCCCTCCATGTCCCCTGTGTCCCTAGGTGCTGCTGCCCAGAGGAATGCTGGAGGACAGATGATCTGACGGTGAGGCTCAGGAACCTGGTGAGTATCCCCCCCCCCCCATTGTGCCTGTAACCCCCCCAGCAGGAGCTTTTCGCCTGTACCGCTTAGGTCGCGGCTCGTCAGAGAGGCTCACTGTCACACTGCTTCAGTCACCTCCGCCCTGCGGCTCGCAGTCTGACATCATTCAGCAAGAACAGCACTTTTACATTCACTTTAATAAACGGGACGTGGTTCTCAGCGGGACGGAAAATGCTCAGCTATCGTGTAGGATCATTTCCTGACCAGTTACTTTGATGTTCAGTTGAAATAATATGCCTAAAACAAGAAAAAACAAGTAATTTCATACAATGTTCAATGATTAAAATGTATTTAACCTTAAAACACATCATATAATTCACATGTATAGGAGAGATTGTGATCCAAACCCAGTTAAATACTCAGTCCTATGTGATTTTTAAGCTCTGCCTGGGGTCACAGCTGAGGAGCCCCAGTCTTCAAACTCCTCATTCACAGCTCCCACAGTAGAGATTGCTCCTGTTCCACTCCTGTCCCTCCGCCTGTCCTGCTCCTGTTCCACTCCGGTCCCCCCGCCTGTCCTGCTCCTGTTCCACTCCTGTCCCTCCGCCTGTCTCGCTCCTGTTCCACTCCTGTCCCTCCGCCTGTCCTGCTCCTGTTCCACTCCTGTCCCTCCGCCTGTCCTGCTCCTGTTCCACTCCTGTCCCTCCGCCTGTCCTGCTCCTGTTCCACTCCTGTCCCCCCCCCTGTCCCGCTCCTGACCCCTGCTTGTTCCATTTGTCCCGCTCTTGTCCCCCATCAGTCCTCCAGTCACTCTTTCCAGACGTCATCTTCTCACTGCCGGCCCCCTGCTGTGCCCCCCCCCAGCTGACCTACGCCCAGGCCTCAGCAAATGAGGGTGGATCCTGGCAAATTCTTCATGCTCCACTTAGATATTTTGGTGTGGTTTCCTTCAGGTTTTTTTTTGTTTGTTTCTACTCAGATGTTAAGGGAAAATCCAAATTTGGCCTGTGAGTTGTTTGTATCAGCACATTATGAGCCAAAGCTGGTGGGGGACATCGGTGAGGGTGTTGTCACACTTTGTCGGGGGAGGGGGGGTCGCATGGTAGATGTGTGTGTGTGTGTGGGTGTGTGAGCGCGCACACAGGTCCGGGGCGGTTTCAGTGTTTGCACGCAATAGTGTTAAGCTCGCATCACACGATTGGGTAAACGCGGCATCTCCGGTCAGTCGCTCAGAGGCGTGACGATGTACGTTTAGCCTGGAGCGCTTTCTGAAATCTGCTCATCAGAAGCAGGTCGGTTCAGGGAACATTTCAAATGATGATGGAGCCCAAGAGCACAGAAGGTGTTGGCACCTTCTCTCCCTCTCTCCTCAGTAACATTTCTGGTGGGACATGGAAGGTGTCTGTCCACAGGTCTGCAGGCTTGTGGTCCACAGTGCTGCTGTACAGCTGTGAATAGCTGTTTTCAGTTGCAGGTTTGTTGCTTTCAATTTAGCAGGCATTTTGTATTTGATGTTCATTTCTGTTAATTTCCTGTTGCTGCTGGAGTGTGGGTTCTATGCTAAAATAGTCCAGCTCAGTAGCAGAGCATTTTGAGCACCAACTAACCAGGCAACTAACTAGGCTTTACCAGCAGTCGTGAGAAAGTCAATTCTTCTGGAGGGCTAACATATCCGTGTGTTATGGGGCAAGGGAGTAGGAGCTTTCTTAGAGATTTTACCAGCAAGGGAAGGATCCAAAAGATCGATCTCCCTGTGAGACACTGAGATGCTCTCGCCTCCATAGTGATCACAGCTCAGGGGTGTCACCATTAACCAATTGTCTGTCCTCAGACGAGCCCCCCCCCCCCCCCCCCCCACCCCCCCCCCCCACCCCCCCCCCCCCCCCCCCCCCGGACTTCACCGTGCTCAGGGCACTCCCCTCATTTTCAGACTTGGTTTAGCCTGTATGACGCTGAGCACTGTCTCCCCCTGTCAGTGTCAAGATGGGCTGCTCCCAATGCAAGCAGAAGAAATCCACCAAAGACGAGGACAACCCCGTCACGTCGGCCTGCGATGCTGGTGTTTCGGCACAGGTCTTGCCCCCGCGCTATGGGCCAGACCCCACCCACAACCAAACCGGATTCATCCCGGACTTTAACAGCTACCCCAGCCTGACTAGCCCTGCCCAGCCATTTGGCTCCGCCTCCATAGGCACTGCGCAGACGTGGGGAGGGGGCGTCACATGTAAGACCCCGAGTGTGTGTGTGAATGCATACACGTCCGTGTGCACAACTGTGAGGCCTTGTGATGAGCGTGCACAGGCCTGTTGGCATGTGTCAGCGTGCTGCTGTGTGTGCCCGTGCATGTGCGTTTGTGAGCATGCCTATCTGTGATTATTCAGCGTCGCTGTTAAACACTGTTAATATAGTGCAGGATGTCTGCGTGCGGCCTGTAGATGTGGCTGCATATGTTCAAGCTGAGGTTAAAGTGTCACATGGTGCTATGTGATGAATGGCATGTTACAGCAGAGTGACTTTGAGTGAACTGGGTGTTATAAGATCAGATAAGATGAGACACACGTTATTAACACGGGGAGGGGGAGTTTGTCCAGTTTATTTTGATGTTGTGGGGACCATTTTTCAGGTCCCCACAAGGATCTGTGAATGCAATCAAAAAACTAAAAATGCCAAAAGTCTCGTATTTTGTTTGGTTACTTATGATTAAGGTCATCATGTTGGGATTAGAGTTTTTCCCATAAAAATGAATGGAGAGTCCCCACAAAGATATAATTACAAACCTGTGTGTGTGTGTGTGTGTGTGTTTGTACACACCCAGGTGGAGGGGTGACTCTCTTCATTGCCCTGTATGACTATGCTGCCCGCACTGAGGATGACCTGTCCTTTGTCAAAGGCGAGAAATTCCACATCGTCAATAACACGTAAGGATTCGTGAACACGCGTGTGTGCGCTCTCTTCTGGCAGCCTGGTCTTGGCACTTTGTTTCTGGGGACACTGTCGCCTTGGTAACCCTGGTGCGTGCATGTGCTCAGGGAGGGGGACTGGTGGGAGGCCCGCTCCCTGGACACGGGCAACTCGGGTTACATCCCCAGCAACTACGTGGCTCCTGTGGACTCCATACAGGCTGAAGAGTGAGTATCCCACCCAGGCACCTGCTGCAGAAGGGACACCAAGCAGACGCAGAGATAGTAATTGCGCCAAGAACCATATACCCAGCACCTGAAGGGGGAGCCAGATTCACACTTGTTAAGCAGTAACACTTACACACTAATCAGTATAGCGTAACAAGGCTAGACGATATTCATCCACCCCCAAAGATTGACTGGGATTAGCTGGTCATGTGACCCTTTTGCCCCCCCAGGTGGTACTTTGGGAAAATGGGCCGGAAGGATGCCGAGAGGCACCTGCTGGGACAGGGGAACCCCAGAGGAACCTTCCTGATCCGTGAGAGCGAGACCACTAAAGGTGCATAAACGCAGCACTACTGAGCACTCGCATCATTCCCGTGCACATTGAAAAACAGACCTGCTGTCTAACACCCCTTCCCCACATGCACCATCCCCAGGGGCGTACTCTCTGTCCATCCGTGACTGGGACGACACAAAAGGGGACCATGTCAAGCATTACAAAATCCGCAAGTTAGACAATGGCGGCTATTACATCACCACCCGCACGCAGTTTGACACGGTGCAGCAGCTGGTGCAGCACTATACAGGTAAGACCGGCTGACCACCTCGAATGTCCTCTTACTCGTAGCAAGTAAGCCTGAGACCAGCCCATCACTGTGGCACAGGCTCCCGTTGGCCAGCCATGTTTGGCCTTCAACCTCACAGAGCTGGGGCTGTCAGTCGATTAATTTTCTTAATCACGATTAATCACAAAAACTGCCTGATTGTGCGATTAATCACATATTCAATCATGTTATTTGTTAATATACATTGCAATTATGTTCACCTACAGGACAAAATGTATTGCTGTTCAAATACATTCATTATCAAACAAATAAGGCAGTAGCTTGCTATTGTTAAAATAACTGCTCAATTAAATAAACAATAAAGAGGACAGCAGGATGTTCCCTTGTAGAAAATCTATAACAGGCTCGACTTTGTCTTAAGTATAAACTTTATATCAAAATTTAACAACACAAATAGTAAATATGTACTATAACTGTCTGTTTAAGGGAAAGAAGAGAAACAGGCTGAGCAAGTTACAGTACAAAGTAATGTGAAACAGCAGGGAGAAAATAAAGGGCAGATTGAGGCTACATTACAGTGATAGCAACGGTCGCTTCTGCATTCCTTCAATGCAGTCAGGCAGCATTATATTCTACAAATTTGCATTTGTGGATAAAGCACACGGCCAGAGTAACTGTTAATGAGATGTCAATCGAATTGAAGGAGTGGCAGAAAAGACAAGAATGTTTCTATATATGTATTTTTTTTACCTACTTATGAATACCTTTATGGGTGAAATTTGAAGACTCCACTCTGAGTTTTAAGCGCTCACTATTCCCAACCATGTAAGAGATACATTTGTAACGTGTCACAAAATGGTGTGATAAAAAGCAAGGGACTTAATTTTGTCATTAACGGATTTGTCGTTTGCCAAATTGGGCTTCCGGTTAGAAATATAAGGAAGTGACTACGGTATCGCATTGTCCTGACCCCAAACAGGACTGTACAGTAGGCTGTGTGAGTGTGCGTCAACACAATTTAAACAAATAACGCATTATCATTATAAAAGTAATCGTAGGCATTAACTATGACAGCCTTAGTCATAACATTATGTTGGGCTCTTACATCATCTCTCTTTGCATATCTTGTGCTTTTTTAGTTTCCCATGTTTAAATGTGTCTTCGGCGTAATGATGCTTTTTTTAAAAGTGCAGACTAGGCAGGGAAAAGCTGAAAATGGCTTTAGGGTTGTGAGGTGACCGAGTGCAGCGGCGTTAAACCCTGTTCTCACCTGCTTACCTGCTATTGTCTCTGTCTTGCCCCGACTCCTCTCTGCCTGCTCTTCGTATGTGTCTGTACTTCCACAGCGGACACCATGGCGTCTTTGGATGTCACCTCGTTGGTTGATTGTATCTGAGGTCATTATTGCATTAGCTGGTGCAGACATTTAGCTTAGGTAACTCAAGCCTGCGCATATGGATGGCTGTTAGATTATAAACATTTCTACCACTAACTACTTTCTATCAGCTACGGCTTTTCCCTTTCACAGTGAACCGTTCTCTTCCCGGCTATAGAAGGTGTCACATGAGCCCGCCCGTCTGAAGATTAGACAAACGAACTTGCAGCTTTGGGCCCCTCTGCTGGCGATGACCTGCCACTGCATCCTCCCTTGCGGGGAAGCGTTTTATCCCCAGACTGCAGCAGTGTGGACATAATCCTCATTATTTGTTTGCTTAGCAGATGCCATCATTGAAGGAGACCCTCATCCCTGTAGCTGTCAGAGGACCGTTCATCTACTGCTTTCATATATTTTCCAGTTAACAGGATGTACAATGTGCATGCATGGGGGGGAGGGGGGGATTCACCAGGTTTTCTCCGTTAGCCTTAATCGTGTTAGGCTGTAATCTGTAATTACAGGATGTGAAAACGTTTAAGGTCCAAGGAAGCAGTGCATTCCTGCACCCGTCCGTCTGTCTCTCTGTCTTTCTGTCCACCTGTCTGTCTGTTGATGTCTCTGGTTGTCCATCTATCTCTCTCTCTTTCTCTCTCTCTCTCTCTCTCTGCCTATGTAACGTTTTGTACCTCTCTCCTGCTCCTCCTCCGCACCCTGCCTCTTCGCCCTCTGTCCTGCGGCGCCCCCTACCTGTCAGATCGCGCTGCAGGCCTATGCTGCCGCCTGGTGGGCAGCTGCCAGCGTGGCATGCCCAAGCTGGCCGACCTGTCGGTCAAGACCAAGGACGTGTGGGAGATCCCACGCGAATCGCTGCAGCTCATTAAGAAGCTGGGCAACGGGCAATTCGGGGAGGTTTGGATGGGTAGGATCAATGGCCGTGCCTGGGGGGGGGCAGGCGGCGGGGCCGGCGGGGGCAGTAGGCGGAGGGGGAAGCCAGCCTCCGGGCTGTAATCGACCCCTTTAAAAATGAGGGCGAATCCGAATACTGGTGGGTAATAGAAACTGGAGAGAAACAGGAGACACTGCAAAGGGATTCTGGCGGGTGATACTCAAGATGTACTATACTCACTTTAAAGTATACTATACTCACTTTAATGTGTAATATACTCGACCTGAAAGTAAAGATGTGGGAAACATAAGCAAACTAAGGAACAGCATTGTAGATGATCAACACAAATTATTTAATATTTAATAAAATTATTTAAAATATACTGCCCAGTATATTTTGCATAAAGAAAAATCAGACTATTATTCCATTCCTGAATATGTAGAAGTACTTTTACATATACAGTATATAAAATCTATGTATTATATTGATGCATTATTATGTACCATATATAAAATGGCTTCCTCTGACCTCAGCTATCCGCCAGCCCCCCAGAGCCCCCCCCCCCCAAAACCTGCATGCCTCTCCATTTCACCCTCCACCATCCTCTCCCTTCGGCACTCCCTCATCCCCAGGTACTAACGACGGTCTGTGCTACTACCTGACCAAGCCGTGCCCCACAAACACCCCGCAGACGCTGGGCCTGGGCCGCGATGCCTGGGAGATTTCCAGGGACACCCTACAGCTGAACCGCAAACTGGGCCAGGGCTGCTTTGGGGATGTCTGGATGGGTGAGACACGAACACAGAGACTAAGAGGGGGACAGAGACCGAGACGAAACAGCGTTTGTCCCGCAGTGTCCATCTCTGTTCCACAGCGTTCTGCAGTGTCTGGCTCTGTCTCGCACCGTCCGGCTCTGTCCCACAGCATTCTGCAGAGTCCCGCTGTATACAGCTCTGTCCCGCAGTGTCCGGCTCTGTCCCACAGCATTCTGCAGAGTCCCGCTGTATACAGCTCTGTCCCGCAGTGTCCGGCTCTGTCCCACAGCATTCTGCAGTGTCTCGCTCTATACAGCTCTGTCCTGCAGTGTCCGGCTCTGTAAAGCCTCTGTCCCGCAGCGTCCGGCTCCATCTCACAGTGTCCTGCACTGTCTGGCTCCATCCTACAGTGTCCCGCACTGTCTGGCTCCATCCTACAGTGTCCGACACTACACACTGTCCCACAGTGTCCTGCACTGTCCAGCTCCATCCTACAGTGTCCTGCACTGTCCAGCTCCATCCTACAGTGTCCCGCACTGTCCAGCTCCATCCTACAGTGTCCCGCACTGTCCGGCTCCATCCTACAGTGTCCGACACTACACATTATCCTGCACTGTCCCACAGTGTCCCACACAGCGCCTTGCTCAGCCCAGCTATGTGTGTCAGTGTCCAGTGCCCAGCCGTCTCTCTCCCCCCTCTCCACCCCCCACCACCATGACCACCACCACACGTTGTTGTGTTGTGTTTCCTGTTGTGAGGCTTGGACCCAGGGGGTGGGCAGTCTCCCCCGTGCTCAGCTCAGACTACCAGGGGCGCGGAGCGCCGTCCTCAGGGCGCGGCCCTACTGCCCCCATCGCCGTATTTGGCATAAAGTTTGTGTCTGCAGACAAAATTACACAATGCTAACAAAACGTCTAACAAGTCTTGATATATATAATTCAACAAAGTCTGTGCTTCCATTTACACAGCAAGCAGCAATGATTAGGTAGACATTTACACATGTAAGAATTTGTTTGCATAAATATACCGTGGTTACCCTTTCTTTACACTTTAAAATGCTTAAGTCCAGCGGTCAGTAATCAACGCATATGTCAACATGCCTGTTTAGGGAACACATATACAAATATATATACAAATATATATACAAATATATGCAACACAGTAATTTGGTCCAGGCAAATGATCAGATCACTGAGGAAAAAGAGCAGAACACAGCAGCTTAATCTTTATCTTAATGTCACCCACATCACGGCTCATCGACAAAAGGCCCACCTCTAATCTAGAACCTTCTTCAGAGCTGGCCACTTAGTGACTTAGTGCCTGCTGTCTTTGCAAGGGCCTCGAATCTTAATGCAGAGAATCTGACAGGATCTGGTTTCCATGGTGATCGGCACCGCCGCACCAGACAGGTGGCAAACTTCCCGTTACCTAAGATCTGGTGACGAAGGCTGCCTGGCTGTGCTTTTTTTTAAATAGTATTTAAAACACCTTTGTTTTGGGAGGCCCATTAGCGCGCTGGGTGCCGTTACGCAGGCTTTTCTCTTTCGGCCTGAAGAGCGCCCCCCGGTGGCCGCCCCCTTTCAGCAGTCTGAGCTGAGCCGGAATGGGAGCCCGATACTGCCACAAACCCTCTGGGTGCAGGCTGGGCAGCAGCCGAGCTAACCCCGGTGCCCCCCCCCCCCAGGCACATGGAACGGCACCACCAAGGTGGCGGTGAAGACGCTGAAGCCGGGCACCATGTCGCCCGAAGCCTTCCTGGAGGAGGCGCAGATCATGAAGCGGCTTCGGCACGACAAGCTGGTACAGCTGTACGCCGTGGTGTCCGAGGAGCCCATCTACATCATCACCGAGTTCATGACCCAGGGTATGGCGCCCCCTGCAGGCCCTCGTCATCGGTGTCCAGTGAATAAGCCAGAGGGAGAGCTCTGCATGACTCAGAAGGGCGGATGAGAGAGACAGCACGCCCGCATGCACACACACACACACACACACACACCCAGCATGCCCGCGCGCATACACACACACACACACACACACCCAGCACGCACACACACATACACACCCAGCACACCCACACACACACACTCTCCACCAGCATGCACAATTTATATTCTTATCATGATAGGGATTCTCCATTCATTGCTATAGGAAAAACTCTAATCCCAACGACACCCTTAACCCTACCCAGCCCTAACCTTAACCATAAGTAACCAAACAAAAGACTTTTAACATATTTAGTTACTTAAAGGCATTCACAGATTTTTTACAAAATTGAGGTTCGTATTGAGGGGACCTAAAAAAATGTCCCCACAAAGTAAAAAGTATCAGGTATTTACCACATTGTGGGGACCTTTGGCCTGAGCCGAGCCGGCCGCGTCGGCGCACCGCCAGCTACACCCTAAGCCTGTCTTCGTGCTCTAGGGAGCCTGCTGGACTTCCTGAAGGATGGAGATGGGAGGGATCTCAAGCTGCCCCAGCTGGTGGACATGGCCGCTCAGGTATGCAAACACCAGCTGCTTCTGCACCCCCCGTCTCCTCCCCCGACAGGCAGCCTGGTGCATTATGGGTAAGCACGTGGGTCTGGGTCTTTCAGGAAGACCTAGTAAAATGGAGTCTCATTCGTGTCACCTACCCCCAGGTGCACCGCGCACCGCCACTGCACCCACCCCCCTCCCAGGTGACCCGGCCATGGTAATGAGGATGACGTGCCGTCTTTGTGTGCGCTGGTGCAGATCGCCTCGGGGATGGCCTACATCGAGCGGATGAACTACATCCACCGGGACCTAAGGGCCGCGAACATCCTGGTGGGAGACAACCTGGTGTGCAAGATCGCCGACTTCGGGCTGGCGCGCCTCATCGAGGACAACGAGTACACGGCGCGGCAAGGTAAGCCACCGTCCTGGCTGGGTGGGGGGGACATCCGGGGGGGGCGTGATGCGTCCCTGACCGCCGGCACCCCCTGTCTGCAGGAGCAAAATTTCCCATCAAGTGGACGGCGCCTGAGGCAGCGCTGTACGGCAAGTTCACCATCAAGTCCGACGTGTGGTCCTTTGGAATCCTGCTGACTGAGCTCATCACCAAGGGCCGCGTGCCGTACCCAGGTGAGCGCCCGGACGTGACCCGCACACACACACACACACACACACACACAGAGCCCGCCTGAACGCTCACGCTCGCCGTCCCCCAGGCATGAACAACCGGGAGGTGCTGGAGCAGGTGGAGCGCGGCTTCCGCATGCCCTGCCCACCCGGGTCCCCGGCCTCGCTGCACGAACTCATGCTGCAGTGCTGGCGTAAGGACCCCGACGAGCGCCACACCTTCGACTACCTGCAGAGCTTCCTGGAGGACTACTTCACTGCCACCGAGCCACAGTACCAGCCGGGCGAGAACCTGTGATCCCCCCCAGCCCCCCCAGCTGATGAAAAGTGCCCCCTCTCAAGCTTTGCCGTTCCTTCCCACCCCCCCCCACGCCCTCCACCTGCATGGCTGTCCGGTCAGACCTCTGCGATGGACACTTAAAGTGAGCAGGACGTTTATAACCCCCATCCTCTGCGGAAATGCTCTGCCTACGGATCTTGTTGCTCGGGGATCTATTGCTTAGGCTTGTCAAGGACAATATCTGCCGAGGCTCAATTACTCTGGCCTGTAGAGGACAGCGTGTTCGGGACAGAGGAGAATGGCCGGCAGTGGGAGGATCGGTGACGTTATCCCGCTTTCGGCTGAAGTTTCTCAAAAATGGCCTTGTGGTGTGGGAAGGATTTAATAACTGCAAAACTATACTCCTATAGCATTTAATGGTTATTTGATATTTTATTACAATATGATTAAGAAGTGATATAATTATTTAATACATTCTCTTGGCTTCCTTATCTTATCCAGTCTTCACTGGAGAGCCTCGCACCCCAGGCAGTCAGGAGGGCCTTGGGTCACATGACCAAGTCACTTTCACACGCTCACCTGACTGGCAGGGGGTGATGCCCTCCTCTTACTGACACACAGAATGTTATGTGTTGCAGATTGAGAGTAATGCCCTTCCTTATCCAGAGGAACGAAGAAGAGTAGTAACAATTAGGGTTAAACGACAAGGTCTGGCGCCCCCTCTTGGGCTGGAGGCCTTCTGTCGTTCGATCCTCTGTGACAAAGGTCACAAATGACAACTAATAACTATACTGTATGTGGTTTAACTCCTGTTGGATTTTTAACGCCTAAGTATGTTTAATATTCCAAAGTTTATATCTGAAATAAGTTTATTTGGTTTTGTTTACAGCCCTTTTCTTTGTGGCATTGAATCCTGTCTTTAAATGAAAGCCGTCTTCCTTAGTGTACATTTTGTAAAAGAGTTTTCACAGAACTTGAAGGGATCAGAATATTATTTGTATGGCATGTTGTCTTGGAAGTAAAGCCTGTAAGCTGTGTGTGTTTTGTGCTCATTGAGCCAGGTGTGCACCTCTCATCCTCACGGAACATGGCATGGCACACAAACACACACACACACACACACACACACACGCACACACAGCTGCCTCGCTCTCATTCTCGGCTCTTCTCTGTGCTCACCCACTGGTCCTGCTTCTGTCTTCTCCTCCATGCTTTGCCCCTGCAGTCTAAGGAGAGCAAAGATAGTCCAGTTGTCCCTCACTACCTTGGTGTAGCTGTTGTTCATTTTCTTGGCTTAACGGAATGATCGAGTTCTTGGACGAAGACTCCACTTTCACATCTTTTGAGGGTGTCTACTTCATGCTGGTGGCTAGCTTTGGGATTCCAGGTAAGCGACCTCTGCTCACACACACACAAACACACAAAGCCACGCAAACATAAGTGTTAACACATAACAACTAGTGACGTTTGAAGCTCACGTGTACACGCTGGTTGCTGCAGACTAACGAGGACGGACCGTAGCAGCACTAGGACCTGTTGGCCTTGACCACAAACGCCATTGTGATACCAATTAGCCCTTTCCTATGAACGGAGATGGTTTCTCAGTCTGGCACTGTGGTGTACTTTCCTACTGATGACCGCACACTCGCCGTCGTGTCTCCTGTGTGTGGACTTACATACCAATCGCGATTCAAAGAAATATCTGTCACATTGTCACTCTGTAAACACTGAATGAAAGGAATCCCAGCTGTTTCAACACAAGCGGTCACAGCTAAACGTAAGAGGCACAATATGGGCCAAATGACTGATTCTTGAAATGGACACCAGTTACACCACATAGTGTGAGTCATAAGCCCAAGTTTAAAAAAAAAAAAAACCCTCATTTAGTCAAAGTAATACAGGTTGGTGTGAGACGGGGCCTCGGAGGTATCTGAGGTGATTAGCACAGCGTGTTAATCAGAGCTGCCCTCCCACCAGTGGCTGAAACACATGCCCTGCCCTTTACCACATGACTGGAACAGATGAGTGACGCGGGTTTGAATGAAGCTGGAAGCTGATTGGTCGGTGTTCAGACCTCATTGAATTGCTCTCTCATGGAAGTAAGTGGAACCCTGTTAGACTATGTAGAAGCCTGCAGCCGTACACTGTGTGTAGCTGTACTCCATGTGCAGCTGTACACTTTGTGTAGCTGTACTCCGTGTGCAGCAGTACCCTGTGTGTAGCTGTACTCCATGTGCAGCTGTACACTTTGTGTAGCTGTACTCCGTGTGCAGCAGTACCCT